GTGCAGGAAGACGGCGGGCCGGCCTGCGGCAAGGGGGGAGGTCGTGGTCAACGGGTTGTGAGTTTTGAGGAAGGGGGCCGGGGGGCGCAAGGAGGGAGAGCAAGGTCGACTTTATCTGCGTTCAGAAGGCGCCTTGGCTGTGAGCATCTGCACAGGCATTAATGGGGCTGCTTGACAAGCAAAGCTGCCCTCACCGTTGACCACCAAGAGGACGTCCACGCGCCTCTCCCCGCGCTGCCCGGGCACCGGCTCGCACACCGCCGCCGCCGCACGCAGCGCCGCGTTGGGCGGCGGCGCCTCGGCGGTGAGCGCGGCCGGCCACGCAGCCGCGAGCGCCGCGCCGGCGGGCAGCAGGTAAGCCTCTGTTGTCGGCATCGGCAGCGCGGCGATCGCCGCCTGCAGCGCGCCATCAAGCAGGGCGGCGTCAAGCAACGGCGCCGCCGCCGCGCTCGTGCCCCCGCCCGCCCCCGCGCCGCCGTCGCCGCCGCCGTCGGCCGGGCGCGGCGAGAGGGCGGCGCAGGCACTGCCGTCGGCAACGGCAAGCGACGCAACGCGCCTGAAGGCGGGCGCGTAATGGTATGGCGTGAACTCTGTGAGGTAGTCATAAAACGCGCGAGCGGCCAGCGGGCGCAGGCCCGCTGCGGCGGCTGCGGCGGCGGTGTCTGTGGCGGAAGCCAGGCCAAGCAGCTCGTCCACCCGCCCCGCGTGGCGCCAGCCGGCGGCGCCGGCGTCGGGAGCGGCCGCGTGGCAGCTGGCGAGGGGCTCGCCCGCGGCGGCGGCTGCCACATGGAAGCTTGTTCCGCCGGTCGCGCTGCGCCGCAGCTCCAGCGCCCTCGGGCCGTCGCCCGGGCCGCCGAGCAGCAGCGGGCGGTGCACTGCGAACCCCTTCAGCACGACGGCGGGTGGGCCGGGCGGGAGTGCCGCGGCCGCGGCGGCGGCGGCGGCGCCAGCCGCAGACGGCGCCGCAGCTGCCGCCGCGACCTCTGCTAGTGCGGCGCTCAGGTATGCTGTCGCCGGCACGAGGGGGCGGCCGCCGATGCAGTGATCTTCATAGTGGGCGGGCAGCTCAACCCTGGTGGTGGACGGCGCGGGGCCGACCGCTGTTGCATCCTCACTGTCCGCAGCCACAGCCCCGGCGCTCACGGCCACAGCCCCGCCAATCTTCACGCCAGCCGAGCTCGCCACGGCCGCGGCCGCCGACACGGCCGGCTCCGTTGGTGCACCCGCCGCGCTGGCGTCCGGCGCTGCGCCTGGTACGGCGGG